GGTTTCACCGTGTTAGCCAGGATGGTCTCGATCTCCTGACCTCATGATCCGCCCGTCTCAGCCTCCCAAAGTGCTGGGATTACAAGCTTGAGCCGCCGCGCCCAGCCACAAAAATATATATTGCATTAGTACAGTACAAAAGGTTTCCTGATATCATGGCCATTTGTGAAACAACCCCTGACTAAGTGAGACTGGGGACACTGGGGCCATCTTCCCAAGGGCCCAGTCCCTGCCCTTGAAGTACTTGTGGCAACCCACAGTGGCCAGAAGTGTGGCTGAAGGAGAGTGGCCTGAATAATGCCTCCAGGAGAAGGCTGGGGGTTCCCTGGGCACTGGAGAAATAGTTCCAACCAAAGTCAGAGGGTTGCCTCCAGTAACCCCTGACCTTCCTCCTCCTCCACTCACCCTCAACACCAGCCAGAGGTCTGCAGCCCATTGGGTACAAGTGAGAAGGAGGGGACCTTCTGAGGCCAAGAGCCTTCCCTTTGCCCAGGCCTTGTAGATTCTGCCATGGCATTGCTGCTGGAATCCAGCTCCACAGTTCAGGCCTAGTCCTGCCTGAGCCAGAAGGACCCCTCCCCTTTATGCCAGAGAGCCAGGCTCCTCTGCCCTCCTAGGGCTCAGGACAACATTGGGACAGGTCTCCAATTATCATCTCCCAGCTGCTTCCTTCCTGGAGCCAAAAGAGCTCCTCATCCCCTCTCTTACCCCCTCTTTATGCCAGCACCTCCTTCCCTACCTCCTGGGGGATCTCAGTGTGTCTGGAGTGGAGCAAACAGTGTACCAGTCTGAGATGGGTGGTGACTGTGGAGTGGGAGGGTCCCCAGGTCACCCAGTTTTCCCAGGCAGATTATGGCAGGGAGGGGTCCCAGCTCCCAGCTGCTGGAGCAGGCAGAGGGTAGGGCATGGAGCTCACAGCTGCACTTTATGACTGCAGTCCCACAAATCTAACAGTTGGCAGTGGGGAGGGGCTGCTGAGCAGCCTGCACAGACAGGGGAGCAGGGACTACCCCTCACTGCCTCCTCCAGGCCGCCGCTCAGCCCTCAGGTGCTCTGGCATTGGGGCCATTGGGGTGAGGTGGGCAGGAGCTAGATACTAAGGGGTGGCAGAAAGAGGGGAGGGGGTAGAAGAGATGATCTGCTCTCTCTGAGGGGCAGTGGCAAGGAGGAGCTTTGATGTGAAAAGCTTTAGAATCTGTTTAAGAACCTTTGAGATCCTTGGCTTTTATATAACAAAAAAAGTAAACTGAGGCTCAGGGAGAAGGGAGTGCCTGGGTAGCCTAGCTGTCCTGGCTTCCTACTTTGTATTGATTTAACTTCTTTCTGCAGGGCCCCAGCTGAGCTGGGAGGATGAACCTGGGCTTCTGGTTGAGGGTGGGGGAACATCCTGTCCTTAGGAGAGGGAAGTCAGTGACCAGCCTTCTGGGGGGCTCTGAAGACTCAGGAATGATTTTAACTCTTTCAGCAGGCTAGGCACTTGAAATCAGAACGTTGGGAGAGAAAAACCCAGGCCAGAGACACCCTGGGTGTCTTAGCAACTTTTCTGAGATCCCAGGCTATCCATTTATTTATTTTTGAGACAGGGTCTCACTCTGTTGCCCAGGCTGGAGCGCAGTGGCGAGATTATGGCTAAGTGCAGCCTCGACCTCCTGGCTTCAAGCTATCCTCCAGTCTCAGTCTCTTGAGTAGCTGGGACTACAGACACGTGCCACCATGCCCAACTTATTTTGGGGGTCTGTTTTGTTTTGTAGAGATGGGGTTTTGCCATGTTGCCCAGGCTGGTCTCCACCTCCTG